ATTTTATTTGTCCTCAATTAGCTATATTTTCAAAATTTAATTTGACATCACCTTTGGTATTATAGGCTAACTTTAAATAACTATATTTGTTTTTCTAAATATATAGTAAAATTAAGTAAAACTTTTCAATAATGAAAGTTAATTCTAGAGTTAAGATATTTGGTATGAAAGGATAAGACTATGCCTTTTCTATTTAAAGTAAAAGAAATTATATTTTTGAAGTATTAAAAATCTTAGAGTTTCATGTAAGAAGAAAAGAATGACACTTTATGAAAAATCTTCAAAGCTAATATGAATCTATAAAGTGAAGGAATGTGAATGGTTTTTAACTTTAAGAAGAGGATAGTGAAGTTAAAAATCATTAAAGGCTATCCAGATATAGCAATCACACATGAAAAAAAGAAGAAAAAAATATAGAAAGGATTGAAAATGATCCCAAAAGAAAAGAAAAGTAAATGCTAAAAGCAAAAGAAAAGAAAAGGAAAAAAGAAAGTAAGAGAAAAGAAAATTATGTGAGGAGAAGCTTGAGGAGATGCCTAATCAAAAACTGACTTCACTTGAATCAACTTGAGGAAGAAGGCTTTATTACATTTTCTAAACTTTTATTTGAGTATTAGCATACTTACTAATAAAGATCTCATGAAGTTCTTTTTCATATGAATATTCTAAGTAACTTTAATATGACAAATTGCAATTCTTCTTGAAATAAATAGAGAATCAGAAAACTTAGACTTAACTACTAAGTATTCTTACACTTTTAATTTTGAATTAAGTTGTGTTATTATATTTAGTAGACCGAATTATAGAAATTTAGAAGTTAAAATTTGTACCATAAGTCATATTTTTATATAGTAAAAGTGTTATTTGAGGACAAGTAACATTTAAGTTTGGGGGACTTTGATGCACAAAAAATATATGCATTTTTAGACTTATATTTTATACTCATTTTTGGTGATATTGCACTTTAAAGAAAGGTATTTTGCATGTTTTTTGCTTCAGATACAAGAAATGGAATTTTGGTGAAAAAGAAGCAAAAACAGTATAATTTGGAGCTAAAACGAGCAAGAAAGAAGATTATGGCCTGACACATCTCGATAAGTCTTTCTATGCTTAGTCTACTTCTCACTTATCACATATTTTTGACTGAAATTACACTTTAAAGAAAGGTTGTTTTCATGCTTATTTTGTAGGTCTATCTGTTAAGAATGCAACACAATTGAAACGGGGTGAAACAAAGCTAAAATGGAGCAAAACGAAGCAAAATGGTGGAGCTGCGCAGGGTGGGCGTTGTCTGCTAAATAAAATTTTGTTAGTCACCGAAGGCGCCAGAGTCCAGAGAACGATGAAAAATGGCATCGATAGCACCAGGGATGTTTATTTGCCCATATACATTGAATTTAGATGATTTTTGGAATGTTGCTTGAGGCATCTCTTGGGAAATTCATCCCTACACTACAATTGAGTAATTTTATGTCAGAGAAAGTGTGTGTGTGAGTAGAAAATTTGGAGAATATTTATAGATCTTAGAATAGGAGTAGAAATGTAGATTTCTACCTTTTTGGAGAGATTGGAGAGAGGATTTTGAGAGAATATGTAATGAGATGTACTAGTATTGTATGGATCAGCGGGAGACTTTGTGGGAGAGATTTTTACATTTTTTTCAAGGAAAAAAAGCTAAGTATTGTGTTCTTCATTATCTTATGATTTCTTAAATACTTATCTAGTAGATTTGCTTTGATGAAAAGAAGTTTTCAGTTGTGTTTTATTTGTGCTTTGTGATGTATTTTTCTTACTCTGTCTTTTTATTAGGAAATAGTGGCATGAGAAGATTATGCCATTGTTTTTCTTTTACTTTTCTTTTGTAATGAGTAGGATTCATGTAATGAGTAGGATGGATTCATGTTTAGGATATTGTGATGCATGCTAGAAGAAGTTTTGATTATAAATGTGATAGTTTTTACTTGCACTTTCTTTACATTACAATAAGGGCCCGTTATAGTGTTAAAATTTGTTGTAATTGCATTAAAACCCGAGAGGGCGGTGTAATTCTTAACAAAGTGGAACGACATTTGAATTCCATGAATGGTGAAGTTCATGGGGGTTTGAGTGCAAATAAATAAGGAAATATATATTACTGGGCGAAGAATTGGAGATTCAAGGGTGATAGACTAAAATCCCCAATTCGGTCTTAGTGTTTAAGAACTACAGCGAGAGTTAGCCTTCAGTGGAAGGGAAGTGGGAGGTCTTGAGTGAGAGTCAAAATCCTCTTAGCCTAACCACAAATTTAGAGACTAAACCTAAGATTATCCAAAGATTTTCTATAACACTTGACTGAGGCTAGAGAATTAAAATTGCTCATATTTGGCACATACAATATTTAATGTATATCCTTCCTTTATGTTATCCAATTCACTACATAAGAATAACATTTTTAATATCTCAAAATTCTCCAAACCGATTCATCCAAAAAGTGTTATCTTTAGAGTCAATATTTTCATTTAGGAGTAGTTATTTATTATTTTAAACTTAAGACTTACATTTAGGAGTACTTGTTAGAAAAACCACTTAAATCGATCTTCCAAACTAAGGACTAATAGTAGTAGACTAGAATTTGACTAAGGACTTCTTACCTTGCTTCTTCGTGGGATCAATACTGGGGTTTTAAAAGAAAGCCCTATATTACTTGAAGCAATACGTGCACTTGCGTAGAACCACTAGTGTGTGAACTATTACTAGTGTGTATGTGAACTATTTTATATATTTTATATAACATTTTGATTTTGCACATTAAATACTTAATATAAATTAGGTCAAGATTTTGGTCATACTTTTGGAAGCTAAATTACTACATAAGTTTGGGACGGGTCAAGCAGAGACAGGTTAAGTTTTTGACACTATTACAGGGGATTTAAATTGACATAAAACATGCAGAAAAATAACACACACTAGAGGCACATCTAGTTTTTGGAGCCGTTGCCGGGGATTAAAATCTTAAAGTAGTGGTGTCAACTTAATAAATACTTGCATATAAGAAAATCACATCAAGTCACATAGGTTAAAGGATCTCCATCAAAACAAGATTTAGAAACTTAAGTTATCAAGATCCTTTTAGACCCAAAGGATCAAGGTTTAGGTCCTTTAATCAGTTGGATCAATGAATTTAGTGCAAATGGCTAGCATCTCCTACTAGAGAAGGAGACAAAAATAACAATGTTCATTTCCCTATGTTGGGAAAAACAAAAAAAACCCGCTATGATCACTAGTTACACTATCTAAACCATAGGTCCCACTCCTTAACTATAGAGCCAATGTTTATGTCTCGCATGTAAGGTGTTTGGTGACATGAAAGGGGAGTTTATGATATTAGTTAAATGATTAATCATTTAATTAATCATAGAAACATTAAAAAATAAATTAAATTAAATTAAATCAATAAAACTATTCAAACTATTCGTTTTATAGAGCATTACAAAATAAAAAAAAACGTTAAATTTTGCATAATATTTAGGACCTAGTTTCAAAAATACAGAAATCATAAAAACTTATATTAATATTACATTAAATATCAAATTACAATCATTTTTTTGAGAAAATTCCTTAGGTCCATGGGGAATTTTGAAATTTTCCTAAAGTTTTCTTGGGCCAATTTTGGGTTTTCTCTAAATTTTGCCCAAATTATATAATTAACATAATATTGGGATCAGTTAGTGTAATAAACCCTTAAAGCCACTTCTAATTCTTAAATCAATGAACCTAAAATTCAACTTGGTCGTCGATTTCAAACAGTAGTTCATTAGCTCTAATTAGGGTTTGAGTGGCTTAAACCCCAAAAAATGACATAAATAATCTTAGTTAAATTTACTAATTATTTAACATAACCCTAATTATGGAACAAAACCTCGCGGAGTAGTGAAATATCACTTCGAGATTGGAATCATCGTAGGGTATTACTTTCGTCACTTTGGTTGAAATACTATTCCATGTCATCGAAGTCTATGTGTAGTCCCCCTGATGCAAACAAACAGAATGACACAGTGGTCAGAGCCTAGTTTAAATAGCCCTAAATCTTGCAATTACATAATATTAAAATTTTTGAGACTTTGAATGAAATATGAAATAGTATTTGAATATTGTATGCTTATAATCAAACCAGATGTCACAGAAAGAGGTCTTCAAAGAGTCTAAGATTACTCTATCTTAAATTAATTAAAGTACTTGTATTTTGAATGAACACTCTATGATAAAAGAAAACTAAAAGAAAATAACAAAAGTTTGACAGAATGTTTTAAGATTTTGACAAGAATAACTAAAAATCACACTTTTAAATTATGAATGAACTTTTATTTATCACAAGAAGGGGACCTAAAGTTTTATCCAATAACTAATGATGTTGGCTACCACTAATAATTATTGTTATCTGGCTACCATCAATCAAATACCATTGCTGAATAATTATTGTTCAAACACCATCGCCCGATTTTGTGCCCACAACAATTGTCGCCTGCTCACTTTTTTTGACTGTTTATGTCTAGATGTCATCTATTATTTTCACTTAATCTTATTCATTCAATTAATATTATTATTCTACAATACAACTATCACAATCACTAGAGACTAAATAAATGCTATATATATATATATATTGTAATCTAATTATTGTATGTAGTATTAATTTTAAACGAAATTTATATAATTATAAGTCTGATTTTTTAAATATGAATTACCTTTTGGTTAATATACATTTCTTAAGTAATTTATTTTTAAACAAAATTGCCACAGTTATTCTATATAACCTTTCCCAGCTGAGAAATGGCCGCTTAATGGGGATGCTTAACATTTCTAAGAGAAAGAACCGTCCAAGCCAGAATAGCGGGAGGAGAGAGAGAGAACGAGCCGCAAACTTGCACGTGGAGAAAACGGGGGGCTTGGCCAGCGGATCCCCCTTTGCCTAAATATAAATCCTCATTGCTTCTCGTCTTCTTCCCGCTGAAGCTCCAACAATGATAATCCCTTCTGAGAATGTCCCTGCGTCGCCGCCAGAATCTCCCACACCTTCTGTTTCCTCCACACCACCATCTCGGCTACGGAATGCGTTCATGTCTGGTCTCCATAACATTGATATCCCGTTTCATAGGACGTGGGGAAGGCACCAAGTTCTCCGCTGCCTAAACACTGATCGAAAGGGTGAGATTATCACCCACAACCGCAAATCTAATCTAATCGAGACCTCTGCTAATTTGCCTGAACAGGTAAGACTAGATGAAACCCACGTCAGAATTAACGATGCCGTCGTTATCACAGATACCATAAATCAGTCTGAACGCAATCACCAATCGGATGATCTTCGAGAACGCAATCACATTCCTCCTTCAAATTCGCCTTCCATTGTGACTCGGCCGTGTAATCGAAGAAGAACCAGGAGGGTGCCGATTCTCAAAATCCCTTGCAGCGATGTTTCTCCTCCACCACCACCAGCTCCGTTACGGAAGAGCATGCGGAAGAGGTCCGTCCGTCTGATATATGACAATGCTTCTCCACCACCACCACCACCAACACCTCTGTCGCGTAAGAGCGTGCGAAAGAGATCCGTCCGTCTCATGCCTGACAATCTCGAGAAGCGAGAGCATTGTCCTAAGATCTCAATTTCTCTCTCACGCAAAGAGATCGAAGAGGACTACTACACATTGACTGGATTGCCCCCATGTAAACGTCCTAAGAAGCGACCGAGAGTCATAAAAAAACAGCTTGATGTGAGTTAGTAGCTTTAGCTTAATTAAATGTCTAACCTTTGTTGTTTCACTATTTTCCCTAACCTGATTCTTCAAATTTTCTGCACAGCAACTGCTCCCTGGCTCGTTGCTGCCCTCCATCACACCATCTAAATATGATGTGCCAGATTAGCCTAAGCTCTTTTGACGTTCCACGAATGCTGGATTTCTTTCAGGATACATTGAGAGGCCAACTTCTGCTCCTCGTTCAATATTTATATATATGCTAAGTATGCATTAATTGGCTGGTTTTTATGTAAGTACGTAAAGGGCATTGCAGTGGTCGATGTCCCTCATTGGAATTTGCTTATGTATTCCAAGCTAAAATAAAAAATGCCATCGAACAGTGTTTATTTAATGTGCTTTTTTTTATTGTTTATTGCTGCATCAGTGAAGGAAGTTCTCTTTTGGTTATATTTGGTTTGTCATCCCACAACTACATAACTTTCAAATGAAAATTTAAAATAAAAATAGAGATGAATCATTTGTATTTTTTTCTGAGTTATACATATACATACATACATACATATATATATATAGTTAGTCGAGGGCTTGCTTTACTAAAATTAATCAAATGATTACGGTTGTTATTAACTTGCTAAATTTATTTCTTAACCGCCGGACTGCCCTAGCAGTAAAGTATTAGGCTTCTTTATGATCTTAGGTTAGTGTGTCGGCATTTTATTTGTTTATTTGCTTGATCAACAAATTTGGTGTGCTGAGAATCTCAAGATAATTTTCTAATAAATTTAATTTTCATATAAAAAACATTGAGTATTCCAATTTCAGACAGCTTGCAAGCAAATTGACCAAACACAATGGCATCAATGTTTGTCCAATCTGAATCAAATCAATCAATTTTGACATCGTCAAAGTATTAAAATGTTCGCAAAATATTGTCTAATCCAATGAACCACTCTGAGTTGTCTGGTAGATTGAACCCAATTTGCATTAAGGCTCTTAAAGATTATATAAGTAAAGCCCTACCCCATTTTTTGAAGAGTGGAGCTAAAATTTGAACCATAGGAAACCCAGACCTGGGAGAAGGAGCTGAATTCCAGTGTTCTGCACTGAAGATGCAGCAAACACCACCCACTTCTGCAATCACGACCACTGCTTATCGGTCGAAGACTGCTCATTGCTCCTTACAACGAACGACCGCTCACTACTCATCACAACGATTTCCCTTGAGGAATCACTACATGTGATATGGAATCCCAGTGTATATTGCTGAGTTGTGAAACAAACTAAGCAGCAACGCATCCCAGAGACAGTATAACAACCCATCTCGAAGGTGTAACAATGCACCCTAAAGATAGTATGAAAATGCCCCAAAGATGATACAACGTGCACCTCTCATAAAGTGTAGCAACACACCACAAAGCCGTGTAACGAAGCATCTCAAAGACTGTCTTACAACTCACCTCAAATATAATGCAACACGCATCCTATATACACTATAACAAAAAAACTCAAAGATGGTGTAATGACACGCCTCGAAGTTAGCGTAACAACGCTGCCTAAATATGATGCAACGATGCGCCCCACATACGATGCAACCGACACTCTTGGAGTAAGCATCTGTAAGTCACATGTCCAATAGCTATCTTGGTTTTCAACTATGTTCTCTATCCCAAGCTGACACTACAACCACCATCTACAACAGAATCAGCGGTTTACTGCCTCCATAACAATCGACAACGACCTTTATAGTGTGTTTCAACTATTTTTGTTGAATTAGTGGTGTACATCAACTTTGTAATTTCATCATCCCTAACTTTGAAGAAGAGTGGGTCTGTCTACTTCCCATGTCATAGTGAATTGTTTCAACCGAGCTAGATCTCGTGTTTCTTCTCGTTTCTAAAATTTTTCACGTAAGAACTTCTAGTGTCTTTACAAATCACTTTAATTACCTGAGTGTGTGCAACATTTTTAAGCAATACTAAGAAGTTGGATAGTCACTTTACAAGCATTAATTATCCATGACACATTATTTTAACATCATTTGTGGGAAGCAAAGTCCCATTCGGCATTGTCCTCAAGTCTGAGACATCAAGCCCCTACTTTGTTTCCAATGATATTCATCATTAAATTGAAGAACGAACCTCCATTTCACCTCTTTAAGATCATTTTTTTTTTGCATTCTTCAATGTGGAGGGCAACCATCTTTGCAATGTCAAAAGGTCATTCAAGTTAATGTTTAGGACACAGTTGTGGCAAGATTGTCTTCCCTATCTTATTCAAACACAACATCTATGAAAACTTCTTACAAACTAGGGATGAACTTAAAATGATTAAGTTTTAAGTTGCAAAAATATATTTGCATTATTAATAAGACATCGAGCATTTCGGCCATACTTATATAGCTTAATTTATACTCAAGTTGTAAGACCTACTTACACTTAATGAATAATAACATGTCCTATCTTGCATTCATTGAGACCGATCACACATGATTTTTACTATGATTAGGCACTTTAGATGGAGCCCTTTCTAGGCAAGGGTAGAAGTCCATTGCATTTTTATTCATCGTATTTTCTTCCCTATAGACTAGTGTTTCGAGATTTCACTTCATTTAGTGGACCATAACTTAGTCTTAGGATTATGAGATTATTTGTCTAGCTATAATGTAAATCCCCTCCTTATAGGCATTCTCACGACCAGATTCATGTGATATAAGTCCTAAATTTCTAATGAAATGTCAAAATAAAATATCAAATAAATTTCTATAAAAATCATTAAAGCCTAACAATAGGATAATTGAGATGTCATTGAGCTTTTCAGTATCTTTGACATATCCTACTTTTCTTCATTTGGGTTCCATAATTAATTATTTTACGTTTGAGATTTTCCCCTTTTGATATTTCTAATACTCAATCATTACAACATAAACTTAGAATTTTTTTGAAGATGAAAACCAGTCTTAATCAAGAGTTTTCTTAATTAAATTCAGTTACTTAAAATGTAATTAACTATAAGGGATTACCATTAAAGATGTTTGTAACCCAGATTAATCAAAATCCTTTAGAGCCTTTAGATTAGATAAGGGAAATATTTTTCAATTTTAATCATGGACCAATATAAATATCCAATATTTTTTAATTTAAGTAATTGAACCCATTATAAAGTGGTATTTCTATCTCTTGAGATAGTATATTATTTTTGATGTCATGTTTGATTATTTAAATAATTAAATCATTGAATCTGTATGGCTCTATAAAGACACCCTTTCAAAAAATAAAGCTGGTAGATACCAAACCTCATAATAATATAAATCTTATCTTACACCCGTAAGGTAGAGGAAAACCCCTAGTTACATAGACTCATATATCTTAAACATTTTTCTTTCAAATGATTATATCTATTTCAAGCTAATATTTCTTCCTCTTAGGTTGTTAAATTACTCTTTAAATGTCGTATTCAATCATTTAATTGGAAATATTTGAAGATATAAGGAATGAAAGATAAAAAATTCACCAAGTACAAAGACATCAAAAGCCTCATAACACATATGCCTAAGCAGGCATAAATATTACAAAGGACAAGTCTCAAAATTCACATGTCCTTTTTATTTATGTAAAGTAAATGTGCTAAATTTGATTGTAGACTTCTACATATTTAGGAAGCTAAAGAATCTAAGAAGACTTGAACTTCAGAAGAGTTTGATGCCCCTTTTCTTCTACTAAGGAGATGAGGGCAACAACAACACCCCAAATGTGGACCAACATCAACTTAGTAATTGGGTGAGAGCAGCTCATAAAAAAAAAGCCTAAAAAGTAACATCAAAATTTTATTGCATCAAGTAGAGGAATGAAATGAAGACAAACACACTATCATAGTGTACAAATCCCACATCAAGCGATTGAAAAGCTATAAAGGCTAACTCACACTAGTACAAAGACTACAATAAGTCAGTAAAAGAAAAGACACTTATCCACCGCAACATCCTCCTAATCTTCAAAAGGTTTGCATCATCATGTTTTATTTTTCAAAAGCTAATATACTTGTTCGTAAAGCCTTCGAAGTCTCCTTCTTTTGATCAAGGAGTTATCCCAACACTCATAATGCCACGATGCTATTGTCGGATGTAGCACATTTGTGGGTTGATGTAAGACCACTCTATGTATCTGATATTGGTGGTAATTCCTCACCATCTTCATGAAATTTATTATCATCTCCGACTAGTAATACCCTAGTTTATTGATCTTTGCTTTCATCTTTGGTCTGGACTATTAAGCCTCATAAAGTTTGGAGTTCACCTCTTTTTCAATTTCTTTGGTCTCTGCTCTGCTGAGATGTCTGAGCCACATTTGGTTAAAGGATCTTTTATATAGAATAGCGTCCACTAAAGTGTAGGACAACACTCTCTTTTTTATCTGGTGAGCTATCAACTTGTCATTTGACATCTTCCCTTTCTGCAAATATTGCACAAATGACTGGCGCCAATCCTCTTTGTCTTCTATGGTCGCTATATCTATTTTTTCATTCTTAAACTTGTGCAAGCTTTCCACGTTAATTTGTGAGAGGACCAGTCATTCCTACACATTTACATCGATGAAATCCTTCTGCGGACAGGAAAATTCCTTAGGGTGTGAGGGAATCAGCAAGAGCATTCTCTCCTCTCAGAATTCTATATAGCGTCAAATTAGGAATTAGCTCCAAAAAATTGATAATATACTGCAGGTACTATTCCAGCTTCAGTTTCAGCGTTCTGTACTGTCTGACTGTCTATTGGAAGATCAACTGTGAATTGTCAGGGGCACAAGTGACCAATTAGGGCTTGCTATAAAGGATGGGTCAAATTTAATGTTTAAGCCATGGCGATCTCTCTTATTTTTGGGTTTTCTGACCATTAGGGTGGCCGACCAGACCAAGGGCGACTGCTAGCTTGGGAGCTTGATGGCTAACGACATGTGTAAGTGGGTTTAGCTAAATTAGGGGGGGAGGTTCCATGTTTTAAGGGACCATGGGTTATTAGCTCAAAGGGGGTTGAATTCGTTATTTGATTAGCATGTTAGGGGCTTAGAGATGACAGAGATAGTTAAGGTTTTGATTAATCCAATGGGTTAGACCAAAATTTGGATTTAGGCTAAAGTTTGGGGTTTGGGCTAAGCTTGTGATTGGATCCAAACCAATTGAAAGCTCAAATTGGTATTGGATAATGTCATGATAAATTTATAAAACAAATTTTGTAGATTTAGACTGATCACATAGCTCAATTTAATGGAATTTAGGATTGAGACCAATTTTGGGGTAGTTGACTTTGACTTGGAATCTTGGTTAAATTGGGCTTGAATTTGGTTCACATTAGACTTAAGCATGATGAAATTTGAATTTGGATTTGAAACTGGGTGAATTTAAAATGAAATTGGTGAAGATTGGGAGTGATTTGAGGACTTTAGGATTTTAAGGACATTTTGGGAATT